CAACGAAGGCCGCCAGCGGCTCGTGAGCCAGCGGCTCCGGCTGGTGTGGCAGCGGCTCCGGCAGCAGCTCTGGCTGGTTCCATGGGGGCAGTTGCTCCTGGACTCTGGCAGGAACTCCTTCCCTTTCAGTGGTCAACCCTGACTGAGTTGGTCCACTGGCCTTTAAACTGATCATGCAGCTGGAGCATGCCCAGAAGGGCCTCAGGGGAGGGGCCTTCTCAGCCCAGCAAGCCTGGTTAATCCCTCCACTGCCAGTGCAGGGTTCGTACACCCTGGGTTCCATGGGGGCAGTTGCTCCTGGACTCTGGCAGGAACTCCTTCCCTTTCAGTGGTCAACCCTGACTGAGTTGGTCCACTGGCCTTTAAACTGATCATGCAGCTGGAGCATGCCCAGAAGGGCCTCAGGGGAGGGGCCTTCTCAGCCCAGCAAGCCTGGTTAATCCCTCCACTGCCAGTGCAGGGTTCGTACACCCTGTCACAGGTATACATTTAAGCTGGGCCTCTATTATGGTGTCTTTGAAAAGTTTCCATGCATCTTGCACAGATTTTACTTTTGTCACTGTACCTTTTAATTTCTGTTTAACTTTCTCATTTTTGTGTAGTTCCCCTTCCTGAAATTAAATGCCACAGTGCTGGGCTGCTGAGGTGTTTTTCGCACCACAGGAATGTTAAATTTTATTACATTATGGTCACCATTTCCAAGCAGTCCAGTTATATTTACCTCTTGAGCCAGATTCTGCGCTCCACTTAGGACTAAATCAAGAATATCCTCTCCCGTTGTGGGTTCCAGAACCAGTTGTTCCATGAAGCAGTCATTTAATGTATCAAGAAATTTTATCTCTGCATCCCGTCCTGAGGTGACGTGTACCTACTCAATATGGGGATAGTTGAAATCCCCCACACTATCATCAAGTTTTTAAATTTGATAGCCTCTCTAATCTCCCTTGGCATTTCATAGTCACTATCACTGTCCTGATTATCTAATAATCGATAATATATCCCTACAGCTATATTCTTATTATTGGAGCATGGAATTACTATCCATAGAGATTCTATGGAACTTTTCGGCTCAATTAAGATTTTTACTTCATTTGATTCTACATTTTCTTTCACGTATAGTGCCACTCCCCTACCAGTATGACCAGTTCTGTCCTTCCTATATATTTTGTACCCTGGTATGACTGTGTCACATTGATTGTCCTCATTCCATCAAGTTTCCACGTGCCTATTACAGGCAGTCCCTGAGTTACGTCGGATCCACAGTTACGAACGGGGCTTTTCTCGCCCCAGAGGACTGGAGCGGCGGGACGCCCAGATGCCCCCCCCAGCAGACCAGGGAGACCGGGAGCAAAGCCATGGAGGACGCAGGCGGTCCCGCCACCCGCATCTCCCTGGTCTGCTGGGGTGTGGAGAGAGCGAATAAAGAAAAGTTATTTATTAGTTCCCTAAACAGAAGAACTAGAGGACACCAAATGAAATTAATGGGTAGCAGAGGTATAAAACTAATACAAGAAAGAAAACTAATACACGAGGAGTAACGGTAGTTCGAACTAGGAAGCCCAGTTCGAACTACCTAGTTCGTGCCCCGGGTAGCCGGGGTTTTAAAAATGGCGGCGCCCCGCTTATGCAAATGAAGCCCGGGAAATTCAAATCCTGGGCTTCATTTGCAAGTGCGGTATGCCTACATTACCCTCCTAGTTCGAACTACAGAGATGTGATTATTCCCCTTTATTCGGCTCTTGTGAGGCCACATCTGGAGTGTCGTGTCCAGCTCTGGGTCCCCCACTACAAAAAGGATGTGGACGCATTGGAGAGGGTCCAGCGACGGGCAACCAAAATGATTAGGGGGCTGGAGCATATGATCTACGAGGAGAGGCTGAGGGAGTTGGGTCTGTTTACTCTGCAGAAGCCAACAGTGAGAGGGGATTTGATATCAGCCTTCAACTTACTGACGGGAGGTTCCAAAGAGGCTGGAGAAAGGCTGTTCTCAATAGTGACGGATGGCAGAACAAGGAACAATGGTCTCAAGTTGAGGTGGGAGAGGTCCAGGTTGGATATTAGAAAAAACTATTTCACTAGGAGAGTGGTGAAGCACTGGAATGAGTTACCTCGGTAAGTAGCGGAGTCTCTAACCCTAGAGATTTTTTAGTCTCGGCTTGACAAAACCCTGGCTGGGTTGATTTAGTTGGGATTGGTCCTGCCTTGGGCAGGGGGCTGGACTTGATGACCTTCTGAGGTCTCTTCCGGCTCTATGGTTCTATGATAATGCTGCCATGACCTCTTGGTGAGAAAATGTGTTTTCTGAAATCCACAGCAGCCATTACAATATTAGTTCATGGTGATGCAGTGTTGACGTCTATTATCAGTAGTGGGTTAACTTCCTAGTATAGATAAGGTTTATGGCCACAAAACATGCTTAAAATGAAGTTGGGGTGTATATGAGAATAAATGCTAAAATGATAAAGTGGTTAGTGGCTTTAGAAAATTATAATTTTAGAATTCCTTCCCATGTGCACTAGAAAACCAAACTTTCTTATAAAATAAGAGTAGATTCACAAGGTCCTACATACCTATAAGGAAGTCTTTCATAATAGATCTTCTCCAATGCAGCAAAGTGATATCTTGGCTTCAGACTTGTAGCTAAATGAGATATTAACACGGAGCCACATCTCTTAGTATCCACTTGTCCCTATAAAATACAAATAAAACCCTGTGGGTTTGCAATACAGAGAAAAATGGTTCAGCACAGTTTCTGTGTTCTGTGTATTTTACAGTTTGTTTTGATGGCTATGACAGCAGTGTTTCTCAAACTAGGGATTTGTGAGCCACGGTGGTGGTGAGGAAGGGAAGAGAGGAGTTTTAGGATGGTTGCAAGTAGGGCTGATGTTAGAGGGTAGGAAGCAGGACAGTTGCCTGGGACTCTGAAAAGCTAATTTCAATGTTTCAGCCCTGGTCCCATCAGCACAAGGGTTTAGGTTCTAGTATTCAGGCTTCGGTTTCAGCCTGCACCATTCAGGGTACAAGCCCAATTCTAATCTTCAGGTAGGGGTTTGCATTTTTTTCCAGTGGGGCAGGTTCACAATTTTTTGATTCCAAAGGGGATGGCCAGCACCAAAAAGTTGAGAAACACTGCATTCAAATCTAGCTCTTTTCTGAAACGTGACTATAAAAATGGCATCTTTTTAATTAATCAGGGACTTGATCCTATTTCCACTGAAGTCAGTCAGTGCATCAGGAGTGAGCCATGTATATCCAGAGTTGTGCCTGCTCATTTTATTGCCAAAAATAAACTGTTACTTACTTTAATTGCAGTTCTTCTAGATGTGATGCTTACAGGTATTCCACTTGTGTGTGTGCATGCCAAGTGTGCTGGAGCAAGAGAAATTTGCCTAGTAGTACTAATAGAGGGTTGACATATGTGCCTCATGGATGTACCCCCTCCCCAAGCTACATGAGGTGGTGCCACTGTGACACTTCCACAATTCCTTTGCACTAAATGCCCAGAATTGAGACTAATGCAGAGGAGATAGAGGATAGGTCATAGAATAGACAACTGCATCACATCTCAAACAAATACATTTACAGTAAGTAACCATTTCTTCTTAAGTAGATGTGGATGGGTATTCCACTTAGGTAACTCACAAGCAGTGCCCCTCCCAGGAGAAGGGGCTTGAAATCTATCTAAAAAAAGACTGTAAGAGGAGTCTACCAAAGCCTACGTCTACCTGGAAGGGTTCACAAATGTATGCATCAACCACTTGGCAGCCCTAAAATATGTCTAAAATGGAAATGTCACTGAAGAATGGTATGGACATTGCTTGTGCCCTCATGGGGGAAGAGAGGGACGGGGAAGAGGGAGGCACAGATGAAGTTATTTCATATTCAGTCTTGATGCAGAAAGTTATTCATTAAGAAATCATCTGGGAAGAAACTGCTTAATCCTTCACGGAATCTGCATTAGGGATGTTAAAAGGAAGAGGAAGTTATTCATCTTGGTACAGTAACAATGGTTCTTCGAGATGTGTCCCTAGAGATGCTCCACTGTAGGTGTTGGGTTGTCCTGGTGCTGCAGATCAGTTTTCTTGAGCAGTGGTCAGCCGGATCATGCATGCACGGCATGCGTCTCACGCTGTTTGCGCTCTTTTGATCTCCCGTGTACTCCGGCTCCCACCAGTTCCTCGAGCCCACCCCAGTATCTGGAAGATATTAAGGAAAGAATCTGATATGGGGAAAAGGGCAGGTAGTGGAGCACCCACAGGGACACACATCTTGAAGAACTGTTGTTACTGCACAAGGTGAGTAACTTCCTCTTCTTCTTCGAGTGGTATCCCCATGGGTGCTCCACTGTAGATGAATGTATAGCAGTCGTCAGTGTAAGAGGTAGGTGGGCCTCAGATTTATGGTTTGACAGCAGTCGATAGGACCGTGGAGGCCGCGATAATGTCTTTTGCTTGAGCCTGCAAGATTGCATGCTTCTACATAGAAGTGTCATTGGTTGATCATGTAGCCACTCTGCAGATGTCCTTGAGGGGAACCCCATGGAGAAAAGCAGGAGAAGTCACCACCGCTCTTACTGATGTGCTCTAGGTGTTTGAGGTAGTAGTTTATTCCTTAAAATATAACATTATGTAATGCAGGAGACTATGAGTTTGGAGATGTGTTTTGACGATAGCGGATATCCCTTATTGCAGTCCACTGTAGAAATAAGCAAACGATTCGACTTGCAGAAAGATCGGATCCTATCTATATAGAATGCAAGAGCTTTACGTACATCCAATAAATTAGATATTACATTCTTCATCGTTGAACGTGGCTTAGGCCATCAAGGCTGCTAACTCACTGACTTTGCGGGCAGAAGTGATTGTCATCAGAAAAAATACCTTTAGTGTCATCATAGACAGTGGTCAAGTAGCTAGAGTTTCAAAAGGTGCACGGGTAATTGTGTCCAGGACCATTTCTAAGTTCCATGATGGCGGTGGTAGCCTGCATGGTGGGTATAGGTTGGAAAGACCCTTTATAAATCTCTTTGTGATAGGGTGAGCAAAAATTGACCACCACTCAACTGGTCAGAGAAAGGCAGTGATCACTGATAAGATGTGCCTTTAAAGAGGAGAAGGTTAATCCAGCATCCTTGAGTGACAGTATGTAGTCCAAAACTGTACGTAATGGTGCTGTGCTGGGGGGTCTAAATACTTGCTAGAGCACCAAGAGAGGAACCTATGCCACTTTTGAAGGTAAGTGGTTTGGGTAGATTGTTTTCTGCTGTGCAAAAGTACCTGTTTTACTTGGTCAGAGCACTGTAGTTCTTCCTGGTGGAACAAACAATAAACCATGCTGTTAGGCAGAGAAGATGTGGCTGCAGGTAGAGTCAGGTTCCTCTGTTCTGAGTTAGAAGATCGAGGTGAATTGGAAGGCGGTAGGGAGGCTGAGGAGAAATCAGATACAGACAAGGAAACCATATCTGTCATGCCCAAAATGGTACTATGAGAATAACTGTCACTCTGTCTCTGGCGATCTTCTCCAACACCTTGTGAATGAGCAGGATGGGGGAAACGCATTTAAAGGGGGCTCTTCGAACTGAGAAGAAAGGCATCTCCTAGAGACCCAGGTCCGAAGCCTGCTCGGGAACAGTAATGGCAATACTTCTTGTTTATGTATGATATCATTGGTATTACAGAAACCTGGTGGGATGGAACGCATGATTGGAATATTGGTATGGAAGGGTACGGCTTGCTCAGGAAGGACAGACAGGGAAAAAAGGGACGAGGGGTTGCCTTGTATATTAAAAATGTACACACTTGGACTGAAGTGGAGATGAACGTAGGAGATAGCTGTGTAGAGAGTCTCTGGGTTAAGCTAAAAGGGGTAAAAAACGAGGGTGATATCATGCTAGGAGTCTACTACAGGCCACCTAGCCAGGTGGAAGAGATGGATGAGGCCTTTTTTAAACAATTAACAAAACTATCCAAAGCCCAAGATTTGGTGGTGATGGGAGACTTCAACTATCCAGACATATGTTGGGAAACTAACACAGCGAGGCACAGGCTATCCAATAAGTTTCTGGACTGCATTGGAGACAACTTTCTGTTTCAGAAGGTTGAAAAAGCTACCAGAGGAGAAGCTGTTCTGGATTTGGTTTTAACAAATAGGGAGGAACTAGTTGAGAACTTGAAAGTGGAAGACAGTATAGGGGACAGTGATCACGAAATAATAGAGTTCATGATCTTAAGGAAAGGTAGAAGGGAGACCAGCACAATTGAGGTAATGGATTTCAGGAAGGCAGATTTTGATAAGCTCAGAGAACTTGTAGGTAAGGTCCCATGGGAAGCAAGACTGAAGGGAAAAACAACTGAGGAGAGTTGGAAGTATTTCAAAGGGACGTTGTTAAGGGCCCAAAAGCAAACAATTCCGCTGTGTAGGAAAGATAGAAAATATGGCAAAAGACCAGCTTGGCTTAACAAGGAGATCTTGCATGATCTCAAAATAAAAAAGGAGTCATATAAAAAATGGAAACTAGGACAACTAACAAAGGATGAATATAGGCAAGCAACACGGGAATGCAGGGGCAAGATTAGAAAGGCAAAGGCACAAAATGAGATCAAACTAGCTACAGGCATAAAGGGAAACAAGAAGACCTTTTATAAATACATTAAAAGCAAGAGGAAGACCAAGGACAGGGTAGGCCCACTGCTTAGCGAGGAGGGAGAAGCAGTAACAGGGAACTTGGAAATGGCGGAGATGCTCAATGACTTCTTTGTTTCGGTCTTCACCGAGAAGTCTGGAGGTGTGCCTAACGTAGTGAATACAAGCAGAGAGAGGGTAAGTTTAGAAGATAGGATACACAAAGAACAAGTTAAAAATCACTTAGGAAAGTTAGATGTCAGCAAGTCACCAGGTCCTGATGAAATGCATCCCAGGATACTCAAGGAGCTGATAGAGGAGGTATCTGAGCCTTTAGCTATGATCTTTGAAAAATCATGGCAGACAGGGGAGATTCCAGAAGACTGGAAAAGGGCAAATATTGTGCCCATCTATAAAAAGGGGAATAAGAACAACCCAGGAAACTACAGACCGGTCAGTTTAACGTCTGTCCCAGGGAAGATAATGGAGCAGGTAATTAAGGAAATCATATGCAAACACTTGGAAGGTAATAAAGTGATAGGGAATAGCCAGCATGGGTTTGTGAAGAACAAGTCATGCCAAACTAATCTGATAGCTTTCTTTGATAAGATAACGAGCCTTGTGGATAAGGGAGAAGCGGTGGATGTCATATACCTAGACTTTAGTAAGGCATTTGATACGGTCTCGCATGATATTCTTATTGATAAACTAGGCAAATATAACTTAGATAGGGCCACGATAAGGTGGGTGCATAATTGGCTGGATAACCGTAGTCAGAGAGTTGTTGTTAACGGTTCTAAATCCTGCTGGAAAGGGATAACAAGTGGAGTTCCTCAAGGGTCTGTTTTGGGACCCATACTGTTCAACATCTTCATCAATGATGTAGATATTGGGATAGAGAGTACGCTTATTAAGTTTGCAGATGATACCAAACTGGGTGGGGTTGCAACTTCTTTGGAGGATAGGGACATAATTCAAAATGACCTTAGCAAGTTAGAGAAATGGTCAGAGGTAAACAGGATGAGGTTTAATAAAGAGAAATGCAAAGTGCTCCACTTAGGAAGGAAC